TTTTTTTTCTAAAATCCTTTAATGCACGGCAAGCCGTTGATTATCCCGCTTATTCCATGGTCATTTGCCAAATTATAGACAAGTTAAAACTAGTATTGCTCTTTGCAGTGCAATATTTGACCGAATGGGTAAATGTCTTTTATTAACGTCAGTTACAGAATTATAGAATTACAGAATTATAACATTTATTTGAATTAATTATCGATCGTTTCTTCGAGAGAGAGAAAGCGAGAAAGATGACAGTTGTGTGTGTGAATTACCTGCGTCTGTGCGTCTCTCTCTACAAACAATGAAGTTGTTAGTTTAGTTACTTAAACAGAGATTTTTCCTCTTCGTTGCTGAGGAATATAATGCAGTGATCCAGTTTCTAAGCCATTTTATTAATAAAAGTAGTGGGGCAGCGTTGACAAGTTTATGTTGGCCTAGTCCTGAACGTTTCTGTGTGCGCAGCGGGATCTCTGATCTCTCTCTCTCTCTCTCTCTGTGTGCAAGTGATGTGTGTGTGCGTTTGTGTGTGTCAATTAAAGCAGCGGCGCATTAATATAGATCAGTGATTAACCTGACATGGATCTAAATGTGCATTAAACGGTTTTAATGCATATCTGCCAGCCAATCAGAATCAAGAATTCCAACAGACAATGGAATAAATGAAAGTAAAACATTCTAAGAGCACAGCAGTGTATAGTATACCTGTTGTAGCACATTGTTTACTTTAAGAGTACATGTTATGTTTAATTTTAAATGTTTTATTTTAATTTAAGACTATGTTTTATGTATTTTAAACTTAACAGTAATTTACTTTCAAATGCCCCAATTGCTGAAGGGTCTGCACAACTTTTTTGTACAAGTTCAAGTTGCATTGTTCAAAATATCTGTAGTAGCACAGCAGTGCATACCTGTTTACATTTAATTAAGGTGGACTAGACTAGACTGTATTACAAATAGTTGAGTTTGCCAGGTGCATACAACATTTATGACAGGTTTTCATGAAAACCTTTGGTCAGTTTGTCTGCTTGACAACCCCATTTTGCACTGCAACAATAAAATTGAAGTGAGATAAACAAACTGATCAATTTTTCTTTTTAGTTAAAACAGATGTTGCCAAAGTTTTCATTTGGGGACATAATTTGAAGTTGGAAAAAGGTAATAAATTGCAATATATCACAGAATATTGCAATATATTTAAAATCGCAATAAGATTGTATCGTGACAATATCGTATCGTGGGGCCTCTGGTGTTTCCCACCCCTAATATATATACCAAAATCTGAAGAGTGCCTGCCCAAAGGGCTACCAGGGATTTTGAAATTTTTCGAGCCCTGATATCATATAATAAAATATAATTTGTTGTTACTACAGTAAATTTATATTAATTATGGAATCTCCTTCAATGCTTTCAGAATCTTTACTTTTTAAAATTATTTTGTTTCTGTATTTTTTAAAATATATTTTAATGCGTAAAAAACCTGCGTGACCATAGCAACCTGCAATTTATCAGAGATGGATAAAACATTTTTATCCAACCCACAGTCTTGTAAATTCATTAACTGATCGTGTTTTTTTATTTAATATTTGTATATTATTATTATTATTAAACTGTAATATAATCATTTAATAATATTATTATATTAACTGGTTTACGGCTATATTTTTATATTTATTGTTGTATTTCCCCTTTCAATTCGTGTATCGCTTTACCTAATTAACGCTCTGTATAATTATTAATATGCTACAATATATTTAGCAAATACTGTAAATGCCTGACAAATATGCAAATAAAGTTTTGACTTTATGATTGTATTTACGCCCATCGTGGCCACAATAAAACTAAGTGAACCGAACATGTCCACTCCTGGTCACCGTAGGGAAGTGATTAAATGAGTAAATACAGGTGCATCTCAATAAATTTGAATGTCGTG